TCTTTCCATATTTATGAACATGAATGAGGTCCCCCCTCAGTCTCCTCTTCTCCAAGCTAAAGAGACCCAGCTCCCTCAGCTTTTTCTCATAAGGGAGATGCTCCACTCCCTTCATCATCTTTGTGGCCCTGCGCTGGACTCTCTCCAGTAGTTCCTTGTCCTTCTTGAACTGCGGGGCCCAGAACTGGACTATTCCAGACGCAGCCTCACCAGGGCAGAGTAGAGGGAGAGGAGAACCTCTCTCGACCTGCTAACCACATCCCTTCTACTACACCCCAGGATGCCATTGGCCTTCTTGGCCACAAGGGCACATTGCTGGCTCATGGTCATCCTGCTGTCCACCAGGGCCCCCAGGTCCCTTTCCCCTGTGCTGTTAAACATCTGTAGTTTAAAACATCCTCACTGGGTTAGCAAGTGTGTTGGCAAAGATGGTCTTGCTCTACTTTGTCAGAAGGATCTTATGCCTGCCTTGCAGTATCTCACCACTTCAAATAGGACCTTGTGGTTGTAAAAGTCAAAGCCCTGCTTGTGACATCAGCTATGCAGTCAAGTGTTGACTTGCTGGAGATGCCTCTTCCTACCTGAACCTTTCTCCTTCACTGTCAGGCTCCAGGAAAACACCACTTGGGCCCTCAATGCTGTGTAGCTGCTCTTGATATATTCATGGTCATTTGTTTCAGTAACATGAGAACCCGTAAGTGGGAAAAGGTAGCGTTCTGAATCCGGACAAACCCTAGCAGTTTCTCTACAGCCTCCTAGACCTCAACCCAAGGGAGGCAACAAAACCTTCCAAGACATCAAGTTGGGTTGGCAGACAGACATTTCAAGGTTGAACGCAACAGGAGGCAGTCTCCAGTGATGACGCACATTTTTCTTTTGGTGCAGACACTTGATTCAGGCTCAACTGACTCTGACACCAAACCAGACTGAGCTTGTCCTTGCTCATGCATTTCCAGGGCACTAAACCTGTTCTCTAGCTCTAGCTTGTGTTGCCAGAAGTCACAACGTTTCCAGCCTCCTCCATCATGGGAACCTTGATCCTTATCTTCTACTTCTGGAAATAGAGTCTCTAACTGTCCTTCCTTCCTTGCACTGTGGGATTTGGGCTCTCACCTCCGAAGGGTATCTGTGAAGACTCTGTCAATCCTGCATTCACTATTTGATGGCACACAGTCTGGTCATCTCTTCCTGCAGTTCCTTCACCTCAGTACCTCAAAGAGAACATGTCTCCCACAGGTGAGGCCAACATCACCCCCAGCTCCAGGAAGAGGTACCAGGAAGCCCCTGTAGGCCTGGAAGGCAATACCCTCTCTAGTGCTATTGAAGTTGAGGACTCATATATGACAAAGACAACTGCTCCAGCAACTGTCTCCCTGTGGAACATCACCACTGTCACTGAACAGTCTCAAGCAGCCCCACGCCATCTAGAGCAGAGCTTCGGAGCACCTTACACCCTTGCATGATTTTGTTCGCTGCGCTCTGGGAGCTGCCAACAAGAGCCTGGATGCAGCTGTCTCTTCCAGTAAGATTTTTAAAAATATACAAAATTCCTACAAGGCTTAACACACCAACTTCATGATGCAACTTTATATGATGCTATGGAACAAGCCTATATAGATTTATGATGGAGAAACATGTACAGGCACTGAGAGTTAGCAGGGTTTCCCCTTAGGAAACAGAACCTTGCTGTGTCTGGTGTCAGACCGTGTAGGACACAACCATAAGTCACAGTGATTGGGACGATTTGGGCAAGTGGGATAACTTTGCAGTCACTTGTGGAGGCAAGAGGGCTTCTCCCATTTGTAAATGTACCACCTACCATATTCAGTCCATCTTATAAAACTAAAATGTAGATCAAAGAATGTAACTGAAATTTTCAGGAATGTACTTCATAGTCTATTGACTTACGACATTGTGTATCTTAGAGAAGCCCTAACATGAAGTCAAAGTTCTTCAGGACTTTCAATCAGCTTTAAATCAGCTGTACTGAAAAACCCTCAGCAGGATCAGATATATCAGGCAGCCAGGGGAACTCGCAGAGGCGTTGTCTAAAGAACTTCAGCATACGCACTGCGGAGCAATACTGAAGCTTCCTCAGATACCGGTAGGACAAAGACTTTGTTCATAAAAAGCTTAAATAAAAATAAGTCGCAGAAACATACACAGTTACTTACATTCATTTAAAAGGTTATTACCTTCTTATCAGATGCTATCACAGCTGGACACAACTAAATTCAGTAGAATTATGTGCAAAGGATTACAGAAAGCATCTGTCAGAGCAGATATCATTCAGAAGAGTGACTGAGCTACTCCAAGTGAAGAACCCTTTCATTTCAACGTAGCTTATGAAGAGAGAAAACACCCAATAGCAACATTAACTGCACTTTGGTATGTCCACTCTAGAAGTGTATTCTATTGCAAGCCACATTAAAACAGATTATCTTTCCATTTTTATCCAATTAAAAAAATACTGTACCTCACAGTAAAATCATAGGAGCAAGAGGCCAATAAAGTTGCATGGAATGGTGAAAACTGCAAGAAAACAAAACAGAACAGCATTTAAACTAAAACTGTTGTGAACATACAAAGACTTAACTGTAAGTAGAAAGCTACCAAAGCTTAACTAGTTAAACTGTCTTGATAGGTACCACATCATGCTGCAACAAAACAGACTATATCAACAAATTTCCCCACCATGCTTCTAATTACAAGGAATTCTCTATGGGATCCTGGTTTGGTTTGATTTCATTACGGCAGTGCCAAACAGCTCTGCTGTAGTTAAGAAGTTTTAGGACAGTCATATAAACAGTCATTAAATTCTGCTTTTGGCTGACAAGCTGGTATCATCCCACTATATGAAATGAGTTTCAGAAAAGCTATGTGACCAGTTTATTTTTTTCAGAGAGTGAAAATGTGTGCCATACTGCAGAGAATGTAAGATATACTGCTGCCATCGATTGCATGTCCTAGAATTTTGAATTTATTTACAGAAATGGGAAAATTGGAGAGAAGTTGAAACAAGTGAAGGCAATATAATGTCACTTAATAAATTCCCCCTCTCTTGCAGGGCATTTTACGGGACACACTATTCTATGGACTCTTGCAGACAGGTCTAAGAACTGCAGCAATAAGGATGCAGTTGGGTGGAACTGTCCACCTTGCCTCCAGCTTCTTGGCAGCCCTCAGTTTCCAACTATTTTAAGGTCAATTGGAAATACACAAGTCATTGACATAACTTCAGTTTGAATTGTAGGTCTCCTACATCATGGTTCATAGGTAAGATTCTTCCTGCAAGGCTTCCAATATTATTCATAGCTACTACAAAGTCAAAAGTTAAGCCTGGGCTATTGCCACAACTGCACAAGTTGCCAAGAGAGCAGTGTTGCTGAACTCTGCTGACACCTTCTCTTTACTGTAGCAGAATTGAGGGATGTGCATGCTTGAGCTCTAATCTCCCTAGATTTCCTGGAACTCTTCTGGAAGAAAAAAAAAATCACAACAAAACATCTTTTTCTTCTGCAACTCAGGAATATGAAGAATAAAGATGAGGAAGACTGATGGGCAGCAAAAACCAATGGCACGTTTCCCACATGCCTCCTTTGCATCTTTGTCCACAGAGTTTTGGATGTAGCAAAAACATGTCGTCCAAGATGAAAAGCTTTGTCATTAAGTATCTTAGAAACTCACCTAAGCAAACTCTATCAAAATACTTAGCAGAGTGTTACACATAGAAATTCAAAGAATTTGCAGAATGTCTTTCTGCTACAAAGAGAGTATTTTAAAATTTTGTTCCACTTAACTGTAAGATACTACAATTTTATCATATGAACATATAAACAGAAGAGATCAACATACCATCCAGCCTGACCTCCAATATTTCACAGATCATTCACCCAAGTATCTAAAATACTTAGCAGAGTGTTACACATAGAAATTCAAAGAATTTGCAGAATGTCTTTCTGCTACAAAGAGAGTATTTTAAAATTTTGTTCCACTTAACTGTAAGATACTAAAATTTTATCATATGAACATATAAACAGAAAAGATCAACATACCATCCAGCCTGACCTCCAATATTTCACAGATCATTCACCCAAGTATCTGTTTAGGTCAACTCAAAACCCATAACTACATTTCAGTATAAGAGATTGAAGTCAGCTAAGAATATGAGACAGCCAAATGTACCAACGTCAAAATCTCCTGAAAAGGGTTTCAGATGACCTCAGTGTGCTGATAATGCCCTGTACTGCAGGGAAAGACCATCAGAAATCTGCAGGAATCCTGACAATATCATGTTGCGTAGAATTCCTTGCCCGCCCCATATCTGACAGTCAACACAACCCTGAGTAAGTGAAGAGAATACAAAAGACAGACAACTGAAGAGAGTGATTTCATGGTTGGTTTAAGCTAATTTAAGGGTGCGCTGCTGCCAAGACTTTTTTTTCCCCTTCCACTTCAGGCTGTGTGCTCCTGCCCTGCTCCTTTGTGTCAGGGCTTGAAATTGTGCGGCTGAGCAACAAATTGAGACAGCTTAGTGATCCAGACAGAAACCAGCCACTTTTAGGGACAGGATTTTGAGTCAGAGCAATTTGCTGAGCCAGCTTGCTGCACAGCTTTATAACTGCTAGGGTCAGCTCAATGCAGGGGAAGGGACACTGGCAGAGACAGCTGCCTCTATTTGGGCAGCACCCTGGTCTCTCTCCCAGTTTAGTGTGACTGGTGAGTTACACCACGTAAGTGTAGATATGGTGCACCACCTTTAAGTGCTAGCCCACATTCTCATCTCTCATGGCTACAGGGACCATGTCTATCTTGAACTGGAAGCTATAAAAGACTGCTAAGATGGAACAGAAGTCAGGTGCTCTCACATACCTCTAGTATCTGTTTATCAACCCGCTGCTATCCACGAATCTGATGACACTGCCTGCCTATGCAACCTCTTGTGCAGAGAGCTAATGCAAGAAGTCTACCACCTGATGTGTAAAAGAACTACTTCCATCTGTTTGTAAACTTATCTTCTATAAGTTTCAGCAAGTGTCCTTTAGTTCTATTATCGCAGGTTATGGTGAATTACAATTCTGCATTTGTTTGCTTCATTTTATCATGAAGATAAAGTACTATGAATGACTTAGTAGCAGAGCTGTTTTTAAAAGATCTCACAGTCAGAGTAAGAATCTGACAGTCTGTATTGATTGATACTGTATTGATTCATCTGTCTTAATGGCTGTCAAATTGGAGTTGCAAAATGATCTTGTTCAAAAAACAAGAAAAAATAAACTTGGAACATCACTGCTAAATGTTCTTCTGCTATGAAGCACATTTCACAGAGTCAGATTAGAGCATGGTCATGCAGGAACTAAATTAGAAAAAAGACTGGACAGCCAACACCAATGAGGATAGCAGGCAAAGGTAGCTGAGATAAGGAGGAGTGGGAGCTTCTCAGGCTGTCTGGCCATGAAGAGGATTTGCGATATGGAACCACTCCATAAGTCACACCTTTTTCTGACAAATTACTACTTAAGTGCAGCAAGTTTTCAAGTTGTTAGATCAAAAATTCCAAGGGCATGTGAAGCAAAATACTGACCCAGGAAAATTTTTTACTGCCAGTTCAGATTTCCTAGAAAATATTAATAAACATAGCTGTTGCTGAAAGGCTTTAAAAGGATCAGGTATTATCTGACTAATTAAAAAAAAAATAATAAGCTCTGACTAAGATGAAAAAGATGTCATTATGTATCTAGAACAAATTCCTATTGGTGGATGATCTAGTAGTACACAGATCCAATACAGTCATCTGTAGCCTTTCATGCACAAAGTTGCAAAATCTCATTGAACATATTAACATTTTCTGTGTATACACAAAAATACATGTTCAAGACGAGTTCTATACCTTGCCTTATGTGAATATTGAGCCTTTGTATGGAAAGAAAAAGGCACAGTACCATTTAAAAAACGAGTACGGAGAGGTATTTTCTCCATCTCAGATTTCCCATATAACAGCTCTCAACCCTCCCTCAAGCTCTCAAACACTCCTCATGGAAATATATTGACTTTGAAGATGTCATTTACTTTGAAATCCCAGCAACCTGCTAAACATCAAGATGTTTTACACTGCTAAACTGAAGGTTTCCAAGAACAGTCACTGTAGCATCTAAAATCTTCAATACCTGTTGTTCTTTTCCTAGTTTTTAGATTATATAAAATATTACTGCTTTCCAGAAAAATACGCATAACAATTTAGTGGTGGTCAACGGGGAATAAAATACAACTCACTTTTACTCTTCTGATAGCATAGGTGTGACCAAGCAAGATGAACACTGGTTGCCGGATGTTCCGCAGATCCCAGCCTTTCAAGCTACAGTCAACTGCACCAGTTACCAGCAAGTTCTGATGATTTGATAAAACACAGATGTATCAGGACAATTTAATTATTAAATCACAATGATGTGCATGTTCGCTACAGAAGTTACATAAATAAAACAACACAGATGAATAAATCATAAATTAGGTCTCCAGCGTGCAAATTAAAGAGAATAGAGAAATACAAACTGTTTCTCCACTATGGACTATTCTGTCCACTATACAAAAGAATAAGCAAAACCTCTGATCTAGTTGGGCTGTCCATCTGTTGGAACAATGCTCTTCTGAAGATGTAGCAGTGAGTGAGAGCAACAAGGCAACTAGACATGTTTTTACAAAGAGAAGATGCATTAATATTGCAGTAAAAAACGCGCTATTTAATGAGAGCAGTTCGATTAAGAAAACATCGGATAAATAGGATTATTTATTATCCAAAACTATTGGATAAATAGGTTTATACCTCATCGTATTTGCACCAGTCACAGCTCAAGATCTCAGCCTGGTGTGCCGGTATCACAAGTTTGACTCCTGGGGCTTTCACATCCCAAACTCGTAAAGTCTGGTCACCTGAAACAAAGAGAAATTGATTTGACATTGTTGAATCAGTTATGGGATACAGTTAATCCACTAGTCCTTAGCAGACAACTGTTTCTTAACTGTGTGAAATACAAACAATTATACATAATTGGACACTCATGCCAAATAAAGCAAGCACATTATAGACACAGATGTCAGATTGATGCATGAAAGGAATCAGAACTTACTAATGCTCTTTCATTAAAAAAAACAAAACTAAACTAAACTAAAACCTCCCCTTCATTTTATTACTAACACTTTCATTATTTTTAACTCTGATTTGACTAAAATGAGATGGGGTAAAATATTTAAACAACATTTAATTAAAGTAGAAACATAAGGTCCCTTTAAAAAAATACTTAGAAGACCAGAATTATGAAAAAACTTTCTCTGCAAGCCAGCTGAGAAAAACTACCTAGACACATGCATTTGGCACGCAGACAAGTGAACGGTATTTAAAATGCAACTTATGTTCAGATTCTTTCAATGCAAGGAAAACTCAAGACGCATTACCTGCGGTCATCATGGGCTAAACCTGCTCACTCTCATTTACTGGAACATCAGATGATAAAGTCATTCTGCTGTAACTGCCACACGTACTAACGGCAACATCTGCTCTGACCTCGGAGCACACCTGCACATGAGCACGCACACACACACACACAGAGGTCTTCAGAGAGCAACGAAGGGATTCCAGCTTAACTTCAGAGCTGGGAATCACCTGAGCCTCTCTCTTTCTTTCCAGCCGTAAATTGTGTTCTACCCCTAAAGATCTTTAGCATTTGTGTATACCCTTCTTGCAAGTTCAGTTCCTAATGGCTTAGAAAGACATGGAAAAACGCATCAGCTGACAAGACAACCATGCTTTTCAATGTATTTAATCATGATTCTGTCATTAACTTGGGATGTTTAGCTTCATATCAGCAAAAATGGATTCTCCAACTCATTTATTTACAGAGAGAGAAAATCACAGAATCATAGAATGGTTTGGGTTGGAAGGGACCTCAAAGATCATCTAGTTCCAACCCCCCTGCCATGGGCAGGGAAATCCTCCACTACACCAGGTTGCCCAAAGCCTCATCCAGCCTGGCCTTGAGCACTTCCAGGGATGGGGCATCTACAGCTTCTCTGGGCAACCTGTTCCAGTGCCTCACCACCCTCAAAGTGAAAAATTTCTTCCTTATATCTAATCTAAATCTCCCCTCTTTCAGTTTAAATCCATTGCCCCTCGTCCTATCACTACATGCCCTTGTCCAAAGTCCCTCTCCAGCTTTCCTGTAGGCCCCCTTTTAGCACTGGAAGGCTGCAATAAGATCACCCCGGAGCCTTCTCCAGGCTGAACAGCTTTTGGAAAACTATTTAGAATACACGATTATGCTGCTGTTCATTCAAGAGACAAATGAAATCACTAGAAGCTGTAACCAAACACCAATGATTTCTACATAAAGCATGTATCAATACTACCTAAATTTAAAGAACACTGTTTTACCTTGCTACTGAAGAAATTACTAATGTTTCTGTACCATAAATGTTTCTGGAAATCCTCAAATTGGTTACCATCAATAATTACAATTTTTATGCTGTTTGGATACAAGCATTTTGACGGTCTTAGTGCCCAGTTGGTCACTGGCCTTAAAATATACAGCTGGGCACACAAAATCATAGCTCTTTTCAAGAAACTGGCTACAGTTCAAACACAACCATCCACAACAACGATATTCCTATTGCAGGAACTACCAGGCCCTGTAGACTTTGCAAAAAGGAGTAAAACACTGGGAAATTTTGAATACAAAAATGAAGCTAGAGAGAGCTTGGTTCCTCTACGTGACACAAGACTGGTCTTACGACTGCGGTACTACACAGATCATGGGAAGCTTTGCACTGATGGTTGGCTGGCTTTTCCTCAGAATTCACAATTGTGAGAGATGCTGTACTCTTGGAGGATAAATTCTGTACCTGCAAGGCGGGAACAACGCATGATTTCTCACGGTTTTCACTCCTCTCACCTATTTTAACACCGTCAAGAGCAAGACTGCTGCTCTGTACATGTATAGCACTCCTGACAACGACACCCTGCAGTCAGCTGAAGCCCCAAACATCACTACAGTGCTTATAAAAAACAGGGCAGCATATGGAGAGGAAGAAACCTGATCAGCAGGGTCTTGGCAAAAAAAAACCCGTAGCATGCCCATCCACCCACCATTAGCTCTGCTAGTCTGCTTGCCTGCAGAGGACAGATTTCAGCTTGAGCCTGAAGTCTTTCAGAGATGTTATAATGGACTTCTTAAAAAGCTTTTATTTTAATTTCATCAGATAACATCAGACAGATATGAAAGGGAAACACATATTTCACCACAGACAGGATCATTTTTCCCAAGCAAATAAATATATAAACCCAGGTGAACTAGAATGAACTGCTACAGAGATGGGCCACAGTAGCATTATGAGGGCCAAAAACATTTGGAAAAGTGAGTTACTCAGCCAATAACAATTTTGACACTAAGTATACAATTGCATCAATTATTTCCTTTTTAGTAGAAAATGCTGATGCACGAGAAAAAGAGTTATTTTCCCTTTCTTTTTTATTTCTTTGAAAATGCTAGACTTAGCTGTTATTAATTCTGGCTGGCACTATTTGTGAAATGTTTTTAACGGAGTAACATAACATGCAAGTGAGCCTTCCTGTGAATAGAACAGACTGAACTAAAGCCAAAGGCAAATCCAACTCTTCCATTTAAGCTGTAAGTGGAAGAATCTGATTCATAAAAAAAAATAAAATGCTGAAAAACAGTGTAGCCCTGATACATCACACATTTTAACAAACTTTTTTTTTCTTACCTCAAACATCTTTCCATGATCTCACAATGTATCTATTTTTTTTTTACATTTCATTGTAACAAAAATGGGTGTTAAAAATTTCAGAATTTCCACATTTCCATCATTCCTTCAAACCTGCATTACCAAGGATACATTTCTTCCACGTGGTAAAGCAGAATTAGGATAATAATAATAGAAAGTACAAGTAAAGCACACCTAGTACAATCATATTCACTAACAGCCACTTCCAGTTGGCATCCCAAAGTAAGCAACCACAAAGGTGGCCAGCATTTTCCCCACAAAATATTTCTATTTTTGTAGAAGCAATTTCTCTATGGCAGCAGATTTTTGCTGGTCTGTTAGATAATTATGATTCCAGATTTGTTTGTATATTGTACTTGCTTTCTTTCATTTTAATGAATATTTGTGAAATCTTGGACGAATCAATAGAACTACACAATATATACTCATCTATTCAAAATTTTTGAAAGAGATGCTAATCTACCAGTACATCATCCCCATACATGGGATAAAGACCGCTAATGTGAATGACAATGTATGACAGTGAAAAGATATAGCTTATTTAAGGTTTATATTTCATGTAGGTTTTATACTGGCTTTTTACACACAGATGTATTTTACCCAAATCCATAAATCATCATCTCCTAAGCCCTGTAACAACCATCAGCTAAGCAATCATTGCCAGACAGTGCAGAGGTACGACATTTAACTATAAAAACCAGCTAAGTATTTGGGAGATTAGTAAAAACCCAAGAAACCTCAAACACTATCCGAAGACAAAAAGGATTCTAACCAGGACAGATACCATGTTTTTCAAGAACCAAAGTACTGTTAGCTTAAAGTTTTACTTAAAAACTGAATGTTTTTTTTTAAGTTCTAAAGCAAGAAATCTGATCTTCTGACACTGTCCTCTCATCAAGAGAAAAAAAAATAAAACAGAAATAATGTATCTTTAATTTACTGTAGGTAAATAATTCAGCATGAAAGACACAAGTATTGGTATATATGGTGTAACATCAAAGAAATCTTGATTAAAGTAAGTACTTCTGCAGTGCCACTGAATGATTACAAGTTAACATTATTTGCTTACTTGTAGGTATTTTTAAAATACTAAATCAGATTAAATTATTTAGCCAGAATCGAACAGAAAATCTGCGGGAAAATAAATAGCACAATGGAAATCTCACAACTCTCAAAAATAATCTTTTCAGGCATGTTAAAATGATCATGCTGTCGGTTTCTATCATAGATAGTAGAAGCAAACCTAGAACAGGATTAATAAAGCTCATGAGATTCCACACAAACAGACAGGCATAGAGTGACACAAACAGCAGCTTTATTTAAATAATCCAACAGGAGTGTATTGAATGCACAAAATCTATTTCCATGGAGCACAATCTAGATATCAAGTAACATAATTACAAGTGGAAACACATTTCTCAACTGGTAATTTTTCGATCTGATACAAAATGCTGTAAAGCTAAAAACCAAAAAAGCTTTAAGTTATTTCAGAGAAGACCTCAACAGGGTCTTTTTCTGAAAAGAGTAAATTGTTTTTTTAAAAAAAGTGTTAGTGAAAATTTTTATTTCTGTGTTTTCCAAGGTGATTAAACATAAATCCTGGGATAAAAATTTATTTCAAAATTGACCTCACTTATGACTTAGTATTAAATCATTATTCAACAAATGGCTAGATACCTAACTCCAACCCAAACGACCCAAAACATACTAATTCACTGTAAAAATCTGTTACTGCACTTTTCTTCTCAACACTAATCCACTATTTCACAATATGAGATTCTAATATAAAATACTATAACCTGAAAGTGCATTATGTTCTAGCATGTGCTGCATACAATGCTTTACTATGGTTAGCATGTACCACAAATTGAGAGCCAAACTCATTTCCTGAGAAATATTTCAGCTTGAACATTGGAGGCTGATTTAATAAAGCTTACTGAGCACAAGACTCAAAGGAATTCAGTACTATGCTGGTATGTCTTGAAGCAATAGATTGCCAATGAAAACACCTCACTTCATTACGTAGATTTGACACAACAAAACAAGTAAATTATATTTTAATAGCTTCTAGCATAAATGGCCGTTTAGCTAAACTGCAACAAAACACAGCAACTCTGTAGACAGTTTGCTCT